TTTCTTCTGACATCCATTTTGGTCTTTTCTTCCTCTTCTGTCTTTGTAATGACCGTCTGCACTCTTTCTGGATGATACATTTAACATCCTCCCGCAACTCATCTGGTCTTCGCTCATTAGTGTTCAAGGCCTCAAACCTGTTCCTGAGATGATTCTTGAAATTCAGGTGGTATGAAATTAAAGTCATATTTACTGAAATAGGAACTCTAAAATAAAACATTCATTATTCAAGACATTTGACTATGGAGAGAGCATAAGAAACTATGGCTAAGATTGAGAAGCACGGAAATGCCAGAATACTAATTTTGCCTTCCTAAATCTATACCTAGAGTAGGAAGTTGACCTTCTACAACAAGCACTTCAGGTCCTCCTCAGTTTCAGCAAGCAGGGTTGTGTCGTATGCATAACGCAGATTGTTGATGAGTCTTCCTCCAATCTTCATGCCACATTTCTCCTCATAGAGCCTAGCCTCCTGGATAATCTGTTCTGCATATAGATAGTGGTTTCCCCCTTTCCTCCTTACCCGCCCCCTTCTTTACCTCTTCCCCTTTTGAACATTTATACATACCTTGCTCAGTTATCCTATTTCTCCAGTAGTGACTTTACGCAATGTTTGTCCTTACAAGACTTATTTCACTCAGCATAATGCTCTTTAGACTCCTTTATGTTAATATAGTATTGTTTGTGTTCTATAGTATTTTATTAAATCATTGTTCCTTAGTGCTACATAGTATTCCAATTTGTAAATGTACCACAATTTCTCAATCCATTTGTTTATTCATGGGCATTTGGGCTGTTACCATTTTCTTGCTGTCGTGGGTGATGCTGCTGTGAACATCGATGTACAAGTGTTTATAGGCAGTGACTTTCAGAAGATGATCCATGCATCCTGCGGTGCCCCCTCGCCATTTCTCCCGCCAGATCCCACAGTGCCCCCTCGTTCTAGCACAGCCACCACACTCACCTTCCTTTAGTTTTTACAGTTAGCATCTGGTAAAATTGCCTCCTTTTTTTCTTGTGGGGTACAGTTCTGTGAATGCTAACTCCTGAGCTAACCCTTCAGTGCCTTGAAAGGCCCGTGCATCTTGCTGCCCCAGGCCGGTGTGCTCCTCCTCCCCAGGCCTGGCTTGACCAGGATGCATCTTCCACAGAGAAGGCTCCCCAGGTCCCTGGAGCCGGGGCACCTCCTCCTGCTGTGGATCCTCATTGCCCTTCGGAGCGTTTTCGAGTGGTGATTGTGGTCTCCTTCTTGTGGCACTTCACTTGTCCCTACTTCCTGAGCTAGAGGACAGCCCCATGGCAGCAGGAGAAAGATGCCTGTCTCCTTCCGTGTGGTTTACTGCTTCTGAAAACCCGCTGGAGGGTCAGCTGTGGGTCAGCTCCGAGTCAACGGCACACAACAACAACAACATATGTAGGGAGTTGGGCTGGGGCTCAGAGCAGGGTGGGCAATCTCCCTCCAAATATTCAGCCTCTGAAACCCCCTGGACATTCAGCTAGGAGTCTCTTCTGATATCTGTATGTGTACATGGCTGTACTCCCTGGGACCTCCCACATCTACTTGCAAGTTATCGTTAGTCACTCCTGCTGTTAAAAGACTGTATTTGTTAAAGCATTTACCATTGTTGTCGGGTGGGTGCCGTCAAGTCGACCATGACTCAGTGACTGAACTACAGAGCTGAACCCTGCGCTGTCCTGTGCCCTGCTCGCCATCCCTGCCACGCTCGAGGGTCTTCTTATTCTTGCTGTCTCATGTTTTTCTGTAGGGATTATAAGACCTACCTTCAAACCTTGTTTAACACAATAGCCACTGACGTCAAGCAGATTCTGACTCATAGCAACAAATGGTGTGACGCACTGTGCAACTAGGGCCTCCTCCAGTCCCATTTAAAAAAAAAAGTCACTGCCGGCCGGTCAGTTCCAACTCAGAGTTGCCAGGATTCCGGGATTGTAAATCTCCATGAGAGCAAACGGCCCTGTGTCTGCCTCAGAGCTGCTGGTGGATTCAAACTGCTGAGACACGGCTTTGGATTAGCAGCCCAGCTCTGTACACTGTGCCAGCAAAGCAAGGCCAACGTCAGGGTTAAATGAGCCACACTACAGGGAGCTGTCAGTTACACAGTGGAGGAATGGTAGTCTCCCTTCCACCCCAGGCTGTTGTGTGAGCGGCCGCTCCCCCCATGGCCAGAGGGGCCCTGCTCCCTCCTGAGGAGGAGACTGGGTCCTTTGAATGGTTTTCAGGGTATGACTGTGTGACTATGTCCTTGTTGGGAAAAAATTGCAAAACCATAGACAAGTCTTCTTTCTACTCTAGAATCCTATTCCTGTGTGCCAAAGGGCATGCTGGCCCGCTCCATGTTAGAACACGATCTGTGCTAAGGCTTCCTGCTTGCCGGACCTTGGGCCCAGATGAGTCTGCAAAGTACCAAGGGGAATGCCAGGCGCCAGCCCTGAAAGTCCTTGCCCAGGTGAAGCAGACAGGCTAACAGTACAGGCCAGGTGTGAAATGCTGACCAGGGGGTGTGCAGCACATTGATGTCACTGATGCCTTGGGGTGACAGAGGCTCGCAGGGGGAGCCCGTCCTGTGGTGTCCTCCTCCCTGGAGCGTCCTGACCAGAGCCTGCTACTTTGAGTGTTCCTAAGTGTTCAGGAGCTCCAGGTTGTCACCACTCCGTAGTCAGGAGCCATAGAGGCTACAGGGCCTGGGCAGCATGGCCCTAAGGCCAGGTGCCTCCCATCCCTCCCCAGACTCAAACGTCTCCCATTGGTCAGAGTGCTGGAAGGTGTCTAGAGGGCATGCACCAGCCCCTAGCCCTTCCTTCAAGTGGGGGATTGTTTTGGGGGACACAAGATGAAAACAGAGCAGTGAATCCACAATCCTGAAGGAAATCCAGAGCCCGCACCTCTGAGGGCCCAATGAGGACATGGTGCTCTTTGTGCATCTCTGCTTACAACATGTCTCTGTTCCCTCTTTCCTCCAACCCTGTGCACAGGAGCCTTTCTTCTGGGAGGAATCCTGTACTCCTGGCAGTTCCCTCACTTCAACGCCCTGAGCTGGGGCCTCTGGGAAGACTATTCCCGTGCGGGTTTCTGCATGATGTCGGTCACACACCCCGGCCTGTGCAGGCGCGTGGCCCTGCACCACTGCCTTGCGCTCATCGGATTGTGCACCACCGCCCCGCTCCTGGACGTCACCACGTGGACCTTCCCCGTCATCTCCCTGCCCATCAACTTGTACATCTCCTACCTCGGCTTCCGGTTCTACAGGGATGCGGACAGGAAGAACTCCAGGAAGCTCTTCTTCTGCACCCTGTGGCACCTGCCACTGCTGCTGCTGCTCATGCTCACCTGCAAGCGGCCAGAGGACAGGAGAGGGGACAAGGAGCCCCGGGGCTGACCGAGGCTCGGCTGGTGGGAGAAGGAGCAAACCTGCTGGACACACAGGGAGGTGCGCAGTTCAGTGCTGCAGAAGCGGAGCGGCCAGTAAAACGAACTGTCAAAGAATTTGGTGCTCAAAGATCCCCTAACAGTTTTGTTACTGTTATTTTTAAATCTCAGAAACACCCTTCAAATAAGGGAACAGGTTGGTTCAATTGATGAATATGAAGAAAAGACATATTTTTTTCCTTCTCTACATCTCTTCCTCCGCCCCCTCTGCGCTGTCTTCTGTGAGCAGCTGGGCACCACAGGTTCCTCTCCCCTCCCCTCTGCCCCACCCAGCCCACTCATGGCACACGCCCAGGCCCACTGCAGGCAGATCCTGTGGTCACTGGTGGCCACACATAGTGAGCACTTAGAGCTAATCCCTGTCCTTGAGTGTCTGTCCTCAGGACCCACAACTGCCCCAGACTTGAGTGTCTCCCCTGATGAGCTAAGTCAGAGCCATGGTGGCACAGCCTCTCCTTCCCAGCGAACGAGCTTGGGTCCTCCCGGCTTTCTCATGACTCGCAAATGCCCAGCATCACAGACCAGGTGCAAGACACAAGCTCAAGGGGATTCCAAACGGTTGCCTAGAGAATCTCAGATGTCCCCTCGCCTGCCCTATCACAGCTCAGCATTTCACAAACTCCAGGGAATCAGACACATATCTTACTCCTTTTCAAGTACAGTTGATGTCTGTAGCATTTCTTTCTGGGAGGGTCGCTCAAGGCTTAATAGCAGAAACCCCACTGGCTGATCCCATTACTGTACCACTTTGGTTGCTTTGGTAGCTGCTGGGCTCTTTGCCTCTATGCCTTCCCAAGACTGGGAGACAGGGAGTCAGAAAAAAGGGCTGGCAACCTGCAGAGCTCACATTCCAGCCCCTGAGGGGAGCCACTTCCATCCTGCCATTTCCTGAGTGCAGACACGAGCTTCCTTCTGCTGGCTCAGTAGAGCCCCCGGCTCAGGCTCCCCGAGGGTCTGGTGGCACTTCTGGTAGTTGTGTGTAGTCACTTGTGGCCTTGGGGTCGTCCCAGGCGCAGCTGAGTCGCCTACTGTTCTCCCGGGCCTTCCTGCTCTTCCACAGTTTACTGTGGAGGCCCTGAAACTTGGCAGAATGTTTTAATTATTCAGTCTCCAGTGGCACAGCTGCTCTGTAGGAATTCCTTCTGGGGGTTTAAGCAACATTTAAACAATCATTGCAATATGCCTGTTTTCTCAAAAATTGCTAAAGCGATTGCAGATAGCATCTGATCCCTGTTTCTACTTATCTGAAATAGTACCTCTTGGCTGTGTCCAGGTTATTTACTGTGGGGAACATGGCAGAGGAATGTCTGGAAAGAAAATCTACAACTTGTTGCCGTCCTCAAATTTGTAAAATGCATTGATTTTCTTTTCCTCCTGCAATAAAACAGTATATTTGAAAGGAGTGTATGTGATGTAATTTTATTTAAGTGGAAGTCATTTTGTGCTGAGTTTGCACAGCTCAGGGTAGAATTGATAACACTTGACTCAGCCCCTCCTGAGCTAGAAGAGGGCTATGGGCCAGCGTCGTTCATGTTTTTCAGTGTGGATTTTTCATACCTGGGTGCACAAGAGAGGAGTCCTGGTGGTGTAGTGCATCACTCCCAGCCAGAGGTCGTGGGTCTAATCCACCAGCTGCTCAGTGGGAGAAGGATAAGGCAATTGACTCCTATGAAAATGTACAACACAGAAACCAAGTGGAGGGTGGCCACAAGTCGGAGTGGACTCAGCAGTGGGTGCAGGCTGGTTTGGGTTTATACACATGAAGTGTCTTCATGATGTAGACGGTTTGGGGCACAGCTGCCTTTCAAATGGTTGGAGGGCCAAGGTCTGGTGATTTAACTTCAAAAAAACCCACGTTGAAAACACAGTGGAGCATGGTTCACCTCTGACATGCATGGGTCACCATGGGTTGGAAGTGACTCCACAACAGCTGGCTTTCTTAAACACAAAAGGATAAAAAGCGAAACACAATGACACCCCACCCCACCCCAGCCGAGGCTTCTGCAGTCTGCCCTCCTCAGAGGCTGCCTACGGCATCTGTTTGCTTACCAGTTGAAGTCCAAACTTCGCAGCACTATATACCCAGATTCCAACTCTTCCCAAGGCTTCTCTGATTCTCTTCCTGTGTGAAGCCTGCAGTGCCACTTCCCTGGAATCTGGCCCCTCTGTCCATGTCCTGTGTTCTCCCTGTCCCAGATGCCCTGACATGGGTCCCACATCCTCACTTGAGACTTGCTCATTCACATTCTCCTAATACAAGACATTCACCTTGACCTTTCATAAGGATCCCCTGATAATCAGCATTGCCAGGCAGAACATTGTCCTACAAAGGTCCTTTCATCTTCGATGTACTACACATTACCTCATATACTACGTACAATCTAGCTCTCCCCAGTAGAAAAACCAACCATAATATGGCCTCAGGGACTGAGGTAAAATATTTAGTGGCCCTAAAATGTTGCAAATAATTAATGTATGTGTCTATCAAACTAAAACTTGGGGTTCAAGTCCACCCAGAGCCACCTTGGAAGAAAATCCAGGCAGTCTGCTTTCCACAACATGCCTACTGGATGCCAGTAGAGCACAGCTCAGCTCTCACACACATGGGATGGCCAAGAGTCTGGGTCAACTCCATGGCTGCTGATTGCCTAGGAAACTTCAAACCAGAACATAGTCTCATGAAATAAAAGTCTGTTCCTCACAGCTGTGTCACAGGCATCTAGAAGACAGCCATTGAATGGCCACGTGGTGAATGTTCCATCCATGATGGAGATAGAATAAATGAATGAATGACTTTAAGGGGAATGGCTGTAGTGGGAAGGGACAGTTCTTCCTACTTGGCTCACTGGACTGTATTCTCACTGAGGATACAAGGTGACTGGCATCTGCCTCAGGACTGAATTCAGTCAGATGTTTCTGTGCAGCAAATTGCTCAAGTTGAGTTGGTATCATCTTTTTGTGGTTTCAAGCATTTATCATTTTCTGAACCCAGGGATACCTTAGTCCATTTACTTGCAGAATAAGTCCTCTAGTGCTGCTGCTTGAGAAGCAGCAAAAGTGAATAGTTTTAACAAACAAATTCTCACAGAGAAAATACTAGGTTAGTTAGAAGTCTGATGAGTTGTGGGAAGACATCAAGGATGTCGTCCATGAAGAGAGCAAAAGGTCATTACGAAGATGGGAGAGAAAAGATCAAATGGATGTCAGAAGAGACTGAAATTAGACTAGAAAAAAAAAGAAAAGAAATTAGAGCATCAAGAAGCCAAACAAAAGAGAAAGAAGCCAAAGTAAAAGATGAACAGAAGATTCCAGTTGGCCCAAGAAGACAAGACAAAGTAAATCAGAACATGCAGAGAGAGAGCTGGAATTAAACGGGAAGAACTACCTTGGCATTTCGCAAGCAGAAAGAACTGCAAAAGAAAGTTAAGCCTCAAGTTGCAATCTAGAGGGATGCTGTGGGCAAAATCTTGAATGACCCAAGAAGAATCAAAAGAAGATGGAGAGAAAGCACAGAATCACTATCCTTCACATCCCCCTCCCAAAAAAAAGAATGAAATATTCAAGGAACTAGCAATGATAAAAAATACATGGTAATGAAGGAGGAAGTTCAAGCTACACTGAAAGCATTGGCAAAAAAATAAGGCTTTAGGAATTGACAGAATACCGACTGACATGTTACAACTAATGTATAAATCCCTGAATGTGCTCACCAGTCTATGTAAAAAAAATTGGAAGACAGCTACATAGCCAGCTGACTGGAAAAGATCCCTGTTTATTCACATTCCCAAGAAAGATGACTGATCCAACAGAATGTGGAAATTCTTGAACAATATCACTCTTGCCTCCAGCAAGCAAAATCTTGATGAAAGTTATTAAAAAAATTACTACATCCAGAGATTCAAGCTGAATTTAGAAGATGCTGTGGAACCAAGGATGTGATTGCTGATGTCAGGATAGCTCTTGGCTGGAAAAAGAAAATACCAGAAGGATGTCTATATTTGTTTTCTATTCTGTTATATTATTTAAAGGCATTTGAGTGTGTGGATGATAAAAATTATAACTCACATTGAAAAGAACGCAAATCCAGAAAAAGTAATTGTGCTTATGTGAAACCTATACCACTACAAGAAGCTATTGTCCAAACAGAACAAGAAGACACTGTATGGTTTAAACTCAAGAAAAGTGTGTGTTAGGGCTCTATGCCTTCTCTATACCTATTCAATCTGTATGCTGAGCAAATTATTTGAGAAGTTAGACTTTAGGATGAAGAATATGGCATCAGGATTAGAAGAAGACTCATCAACAACCCGAGTCTTATTTATTTATATTAATGAGACTCCCATGCTTAAAAGTGAAGAGGACTTGAAACACTTGGTACAGAAGATCAACAGCCTTCAATATGGATTACATCGCAACATCAAGAAAGCAAAGATTCTCACTACTGGACCAATAGACAATGTCATGATAGAGGAAAAGATCACAATTGTCACCTATTTCATCCTACTTGGATCCATAATCAACACCCTTGGTACCAGTAGTCAAAAAATCAAAAGACATTTCACATTGGGAAAAATCTGTCCAAAGTGCTAAAGAGCAAGGATGTCAGTTTAAAGACCAAAGTGCTCCTTATCCACACCATAACATTTTCATTTCTATCCTATGCATCTGAAAGTTGGACAGTGAATAAGTATGACAGGAGAAGAATAATTGCCGTTGAGTTGTGGGGGTGGAGAAGAGCACTGAAGATACCATAGTCTACCAAAAGAACAAATGAATATATCATGGACAGAGTTCAACCAGGTGCTCCTTAGAGGCAACAATAGTGAAACTTTGTCTCACATACTTTGGACATGTTGTTATGAGGGGCCAGTCCTTGGGAAAAGACATCATGCTTGTAAAGACGGAGGGTCAATGAAATGTTGATGGAAGACCCTCAACAAGATGGATTGG